GTTTATGCCCCAGTGGAGTATTCTGAAAGAATTAATTTATTCTCTTCCCTGTCGACCGCCCTCCCCGATGTAGAAAACCTCATCATTGCGGGCGATTGGAACACTACATTCAACCCAGGCCTAGACTTACCCCAACCGACTCCCATTCGTCAGGACGCCCGGATGTTATCAACATTCATGGAGGCCCAATGCCTCGTGGATGTTTTCAGAATCCTAAACCCTGAAATCCCGGGCCACACATGGTACGGTCCCAAACCGGCTCCCTTTGCTATTCAGCCCAGTCGTAGGCTGGTCTTCATACTAGCCAGAGGTGTCGCTTGGGACAGATGTTCGTGGTGTGACATACTCCTTCAAACGTTGTCTGATCAATATCCGGTCTGCATGGAAATTCTGGCAAAGGAACAGTTTGATAAAGTTCGTCCTCCCTTCAGATTGAACACCAATGTTCTCAAGGACCAGGGATCCCGGCCTGGATAAAAAAACAAATGACATTATGGGCCGATGCTAAAGACTTATTCCCCCATGAACACAAGTGGGCGGAAACAGGGATAGGAATAATAACTGCTGCGGTAAAAGTTTTCTCAAGGATGAAAGCCGCCAACAGATCATAGGCGGAGACCTCTGCACGCAGGGCTATAAAAGAAGCAGAAAGTAACATGGGGTTAAACCCTTTCTCTGATTTCTATTGGTCAAAAAAAAAAATGGAGAGCGTTACCCTACTAGAAACAATAGAGATCAAGAAACAAGAGGATTGACTCCAATGGCTAAAGATCAGAGGTTTGGTGGGCTATGATAGAATGACCAAGGACACCTTTAGGTCATTCATCCTTCGCCAAACCAAGCCTATAATACGTGAGTTGTCCCACCCCTTCAACCCAGACCTACCCCTAGTGTCGAACACGGAAGACATGTGCAAGTACGCTATGGATTACTTTTTGGACATAGTCTCCTCTATGAGACAACAAGATAGACCAAAAACTGATCTCAGTTTGGTCTCAGATTTTTGGGTAGACATCCCTGGCTCTATCATTCACACCACAAGGGATAGATTGGATGCTCCACTTTCAGCTGTAGAACTGCACCAGACTGCCAAGAAAATGGCCACAGGTAAATGCCCAGGGGCCGATGGTCCACCCGTAGAACTGTTCCTTAGTGTTTGGGAGACTTTCGCCCCGTTCCGCACTCAGATATTCAACAACATGCTTAGTTCGGGATCCTTGCCTAAAGGGTGGCTCAAGGGAATCATCGCTCTCCTATACAAAAAAGGGGACAAGAAAGAAGTGAGAAACTACAGGCCCATTTCAGTCCTAAATGTGGTGTATAAAATTCTGGCGAAGGCCTTAGCCATTAGACTAGCGGATGTCCTTCCAAGCATAGTGGGGATGAAACAAGGAGCCTTCATTAAAGGACGCTCAATTTTTGACAACATATTGTCCACTATGCAGGCCCTGGAGATCCAAGCAGAGAAAAATCTGAACGTGGTCATCCTTCTCCTAGACATGGAGAAAGCGTACGACAAAGTAGGATGGGCTTTCAAGTTCACCACTTTGGCCAAGATTGGGTTTGGCCCCTGGTTTTGCACATGGGTCAAAGCCATGTACACAGATGCTTTTTCGGTAGTAATGGTGAATGGCCAAACGTCCCCTTCATTTCCGCTCACCCGCTCACTGAGACAGGGTTGCCCCCTTGCCCCCCTTCTCTTCGTCATTCAACTGAAGTCCTACTAAACAACATTAGAAAAAACGACGAAATTAGAGGTCTGAGTATCCCGCACTCAATTCACTGGAAAGGGGTGCACTAGCGGATGATCTAACAATAGCATGGGCTAACTCTACCCCATCGTTCGGAGCCCTGAGAAAAGTCTGGATGATTACTGCTCCCTGTCGGAAGCCTCAATCAATTGGGAGAAATCTGTCTTCGTCCTCCCGGAACCCTTCGTGATCTGTGTAGACTGGGGCCTAAAGAAGACCCCATCAAAACAGCTCCGATAGGTTCCTAGGGGTTCAGATAGCACTGACAGACTGCGCTGAGGCACATGATGCTATTCTGGTGGAGAAAGTAACCGCTAGAATTATGGGATGGACTCGGAATTTTAAACTGTCCCTCTTTGGGAGGGCAATCTCGTCTGCTGCTTTCTCTATTCTCTGGTTCCCGCTCACAGTTCACAGGTTAGGTGATGAGGCCTACCGCAGGATAAAGTATGTAGCCGCCAGGTACCTGTGGAAACGGTTGGCCGCAGACCCACAGGGATACATCAGCAAAGTGGCTTGGGATTCAGTATGTTTCCCAAGGGACCAAGGAGGCCTGGGGATCCTGGACCCTGCTCAGCAAAACCTCGCCCTACTGGCTAAATGGCCTACGTTGGCCATGACGGATCCGGAAATCAAAATCTGGAAAGCCTTCGCAGAATACATCCTCATGGAGGAATGGGGCCTACCCCTCCCATGTCTGGCTCTGTTTTTTCATTGAGTCCTTCTGCAACAGAAACCTCAAATCTAGAGTGTGGAAGAATGTTCTTGCAGCCTGGAATAAAAACAGACCAGGTCACATATCTGAACCGATCTAAAAAACCCAGATCTTGAAAAACCAGATCTTGAACCAAGTGATATTCGAAAACTCCTGGATAAAAACCCAGGAGAGCTCTACTCTGGGTGCAGGCTCCAGTCCGGGTGCTTTGGGGAGAACATGGATCGAAAAGGGGATCATCCAGATAAAGGACGTCTGGGACACTGATGCAGGTAATTGGATAGCTGAACAAGAACTCAGGGCCAGGCTTCCCAGAGTACACAACGTGCTACTGAACTTCGACAAAGTCAAACAGGCCATCCCGCCCCACTGGGTAGCCAATTTACGCCCGGGGTCCATATGGGCGCAAGGTACCTGGCTGGCAGACCCAGTGGACCAGGGAATCATATGGAAAGTCCTGGGCCCAGACCTGAGCCAAGAGACCAAAGCCCAAAAGTGGTCCAGACAAGGGGGGCTCAGTAAGGAGAAGAGTCTGAAATTTTGTGAGGAAGCTTCAATCCTAGCATCTGAGGATTGGGAAGAAGTTTGAGTGTGGGAATCAGAACTCAACAAAAAGCAAGTTTGCAAACTGTTCCCACCACTCGCCGAATCACTCAACGTAGATCCGCTGCTGTTTGGCTGAGCTGGCTCGGTCTCGACGCCCCATACTATTAAGGAGAAAGGTGCAACGCCACTCATAGGCTACAAACCAAGGGTAGGAGTCAGGATGCAGAGGTCAAAGATAAAGAAAAAACCGATTCTGACAGCATGGAAGAGTTATGGCCAGCAACTCAAGGAGACAGACATGTTCAAGTTATGGAGAGCAATCAGGAAACTTCCTTCACAGAAAGCAGCGGCCATCCTCTGGCTCCAATCGCTACAGGTCACAGCCTCGGCAGTATGGCTAAGGTCCAAAGGAATGGACATATCGGACAAATGCGCCAGGTGCAACTGGGCCTGGGAATCGTACTCTCACCTTTGGCTCCAATGCCCTTTCTCCACTAGAGTCTGGGAATGGTGGAGGGAGAGGTGGAGACAACAGAGCATGCGAATTGAGGAATGGTCTGATATATTCATCCTACAAGGCAAATGGGAGAATATGGGACCCATCACAAAGGGCCCAAACTACATAGCCAATGTCTGCAGAGGAATCACTCTGTCAGCCATCTGGTGGAGCAGGAACGATCTACTATTCAAAGGGGATAACCACTGCCTCAAGCACATCCAGAACAGAATTATCTCTGAGCTTCTAATCACAATCATTTCTGATTGGCGGTCCAAAGGCCTTTTGTGGTTCGCTAAGACTTGGGCCCACAAGGGCGTCGGGGCCTCGATAAGTCCCGAAGGAACCGAAGGAAATATGCAGTTAGCAGAGTGGTTGAAACAGACCTGAAGAAGGTAGTTCTGCCCTGTGCTAAGATGAGAAACGTCTCAATTTCATATAGAGAAGTAGAATTTTCACTCCTTTGTTTTCTTTCCTCATTTTGTTGTCCAGTTGAAGGTTTAGCTTTAGGGGACGCTGGACCCGGTTTCCAGCTGAGCCTAAGCTGGGTAATGGCCCCAGTTTTTCCTCCGGGTTGATTGTCGATGTTTTCCCGGCCTCGTTTATCTATATTTGGAAATAAAG